TCTGAGTACATTTGAGTATTTATCACGGTGAAAGAGTGTTCGATATAATTTGGGACATTTTTTAAGGGTTTAAATATGTTATTAGTTCATGAAAATATGACACAATTTGTTTTAGATCTGCAAAATATTTTCTTTATTGTCATCCCTGTAACATTCATTGTTTTTGTTTTACTACATCTCTAACTCCGAAACAACTCTACTTAGAAATGTTTTCTGCAGTTCACTTTTTATACTTATAATTATATATTACACATTGCTTTTTGAGGGAGAAGTAGAATGTTTGTCAAAAGCGAAGCAAGATAAAGAAAAAACTAAGTGTCTATACGCCCTGTATTCCCAGAGCAATTACTACCGCTTAAAGAGTGGGAGGATGAGTTGTTTGTTGTTTTCTCACAGTTGAGCCTGAGTTTATCACAAATAGAATAGAAGACACCGGTGTTAACATTTGTAGTCTACTGCCCTCAATTTATGTTCATCAGGAATAACAAATGTGACACCGCATCCGGATGTACTTGAATTTGAAATTTGATATGTATTTGAATTTCCTAGCGAATAAAATTCGTGTAGCTGAGTGGTACATTTAATTAATGCGTGATTAATTGAACTATTTATCGGGTCCCAAATAATGGGAATGGACTCCCAAATATTTAGTTGGGTCATCGTAATAATTTTAGAAGCCCAATGAAGTGCCAACTAAAGTTGATAAAAATGTTTGGGCAACCTGAGTGCTATTTTGGCCTAACCTGCCAAAAATAACGGGAATAATTGGGAGGAACTTCCTACACCCACTTGGGGGTATTCTACAACCCATTTAGACTCAAATGAGTGAAGAGGGGACATGAATGATGGCTAGCACGTACTGAGGGTGGGAAGTCTCCAATGAGACAATAACTCATACACATGTCCTACTCTACACAACAAGTTTGTGTTGATTGAGAGCCTCTACCATCTCACCTCATCCTTATCATCATTCGGCCATACCAAGAGGGGGAGCTCCAAGAAGGTTTCTCTCAAGAGCTCAGAGCTTAGAGGAAGCAAGAGGAAGGGAAATCCAAGAGAAAATAGCTAGAAGAAGAGGTAAGAACACAACTATTACCTTTTAACTAGTTTATGTTGTATGATTTTTTTAAGAAATCATATAGTGGATTAAACCATGAGTTCTACACGTTCAAAAGTGTATTATATTGATATAAAGTGGTGGTAATTAACTTAGAAGAGTCGTGGAATCGATAGGAGTTGAAATCGCCGGAAACCGCCATTGTTGGAGACTGTTTTCGAGCTGCAGGCCCGAAAGCCGCCCACCTTTTGCAAAAGCCGCCCACCTTTTGTCTGCTGTCCAGAATTTTCACTTTCAATTGGCCTAGAACGGGGATTGATCGAAGGGCTTAGCAAAGGCAACAACTAGTTGAGCACATCATAAGGTGAGGATGGCTGACTATATTGTTTATAACTAGTGGGTTAATTCATGAGATTACCTAATGTTATAAAAGCATGATTTTAATTAACTAATATGCCAAGTAAAGTGTCAATTGATCATATTGTTGTATATGAAGAGTTGATGCATGATTGATTGGGGTATGAGAAATTGGAGCATGATTACTTGATATGTTTGAGAAGTTGTTCTAGTTGATTCAGTGATGAACTAATAAAATGTTTTTATTAATCACTATTTAATTATATTGATTTTATGGTTAGTAAAGTCAATATAGAATGGAGTGAGAATGAGTTATGGCATGGCCGCCACGTTTGTTTAAAAGGGAAAGAGAATTTGAACTAAGAATAACTCGGGTAATACTAAATGACTAGTCCGAGGTTATAATATGAACATTTATAAATTAATCCTAAGTTTAGGATTGTGATGCTTCGTCACTAGGGTATTCAATTGGGATAGCCTTAGATGATTTAAATGATATAATTATCCTAGGATTGGATTGTTGATATTATTATCCGGGTGGTCTTTAGGATACCCGTAATTGGTTGTTGATTGGTAGCAAGGGTCATGGCTCGGCTCTAGTCTAAGGATAGATGCCCGACCCCATGAACTTGCTAATATAGATAGATGAGGGTCATGGGTCGGACGAGTCTGAGGATCGTGCCGGACTGCATGGGCCCACAATAGGATAGATGTAAGGACCATGGCCCTACTTGGCTCTAGAGAGCGAGATGGATAGCATGGACTTACAGCGTGATCACGTATAAGGGTGGAATCCGAATCAAAGACCTTGCGAGGCTTTGACAGCGGTAACACATAAGATAGGACCCCGAATGGGCCTTACCTTCCTACGGGAACAGGGTATGAGTCCAGGGGCAGGATGCTGGACTCCGACCGAGTGCTCCATGGAGACTTGGATAGCGGTGACAGGTCCTGTATGAATTATTGCAGGGCAATACGAATTATCGTAGAGCGATACAAATTGTATTTTTAAATTATCGCAGGGCGATACAAATTGTATTTTTGAATTATCGCAGGGCGATACAAATTGTATTTTTAGATTATCGCAGGGCGATACAGATTATATTTTGAATTATCACAGAGCGATTTGAATTGTATTATTAAAAACAAACGGGGAAATAAAATATCGCATGGCGATGCAAAAGGGTTTTGACAAAATACAAATGGGCCTATGGGCCGACTATTTGACGATATATACTTATGTATGATTTGAAAGGGGTAACTATGGGTTATTTCCTAGTATTATGATAACACCTATGTTGAGGGTCTTAAGGATTGAAACATTAATTATATGCGGTGTAGTTGTCATTGTACTTTTCAAATGCTTCAAAGTACTGACCTCCCCTTCACGGGGGAGGCCACCTCACAGTTTTCAGGTAGAAGCTAGAGCTTGCTTCCTGTACCCGTTGCTTCGGGAGTTCTTGGAGAGAAGACGTGGTTCGTGCTTCCTCCGTTCTGTTTTCAAAACAATTACAATGATGCTCATGGATAATATTTTCTAATAAATTATTTGAGGGCTTGTATGCCTAAGTTTGCCAAGTGTGGCTTGAACACTTGTAATATTGTTTCCGCTGCTTTAATGAATATTTTACATTATGTTTGTTTATGGATGTACTATGTGTGAATGATATTCCAGACGCCTTGTATAGTATGGATGTGTTAGACTGCGGTTGACTATTCATACTGTACGGCGGATTGTTGACGTGTCCGGGTAGGTCCGGGGCGTGACAACAAATGCCACATCACCTCACAGAAGGCATCATTGAAGATACCGGTAACACAAATGAGGAGATGATCACAACCAAACTAATGAAGGTGACAAGTATTGTGTGACATCCAAACTAACACAACATTAGTAAGCTAAAATTGCTTTTTTTATCATATTTGTGTCATAGTGATTGTATTTTTATTGCAGGTGTGTGAAATAAAAAGAGCCACATCAAGCCATTAAGGTGATAGTGAGAAGGAGAAGATTGATGAGGAAAACCAGACATGAGAAACAAATCACAAGAAGCAAGCAAAAATAATAATATCTTTATTGTAAAAATTATACTCCGTATATGTTATATTTGTTGCTTATTGTTGTATTGTATATGTTGCTTTTTGTTGCGTTGTGTTGTTTTTTGTTACATTGTGTTGCTTTTTGTTGCATATCTTGTTTATTGTTGTTTATAATTTTAAATTTGCTACTTGTCATTTATTTAAATTTTTACTTCTCTTTGCTACTTATTTAGATTAACAAAGTCATATATAAATTTATGTACAATCACCTAAAATGAGAAAATTTGATTTACGAATATAAAAAATGTGTTGTTTTTTGTTGCATCGTGTTGTTTTTTGTTGCATGTTGTTTATAGTCTTAAATTTGCTATTTGACATTTATTTAAATTTTTACTTCTCTTTCTTACTTATTTACAATAAAAAAATCATATATAAATTTATGTACAAAAACATGAAATGAGAAATTTGAATTTAGGAATATAAAAAATAGCAAAAAACAGGAAGAAATAATTAAAAACAAAAAATTAAAAATTATCAACAAAATGAAACACAAACAAACAATAGTCAACAAAAACTAACAATAAAATGATACCAGTACTAAATTGGGTTACAAAATTTTTATTTTTACTTTTTTTTATTATCAAATGTTTTTTTTGTATATTTTACTAAATTAGTACAATTAAATATTTGACATTATTATTTTCGATTTTCAATTTTTTTTATATTTTCTACGCTTTCTTGTAAAATTAAATTTTCAAATTTTTAAAAATATTAAGAATGTCAATTTCAACTTTTATATATATTCTGTTTTTTTTTTAATATTTAAATGTGTATATATATATATTCTGGTTCTTAAAAAATCTCACTCTTTCATAAAAAAGTATAAAATTTTCATATTTTTTTTAGTTAAAAACACATTTATGTCTTATTTTTTATATTTTTTCTATATTTTTTCAGAGATTTAGATTTTAACTATTTTAAAATTTTCCTTTAAAAAAAACTATTTTAAAATTTTATTAAACTTCTGATTTTTGTTTTATATTTTTTGATGGATTTTAATATTTATATAAAAAATTATATCAAGCAATTTATAAAATTCATTACTAAAAACATAAGTTGTACTTTTTCTACAGCTTTTCAAAGCCTCTTTACGTTATTTTCACTTTGTAATTTTGTTAACTTAAAATTTCCCATTTTTTTTAAATTTAAGTCACAAGTTCTTAGTCTTGATTACTTTATGCATTTTTTGAAGTTCTTAATTTTTGAATATGTTTTTTCCTTTTCTTATAAAAATATCATTTAGAACCTTATTATTTTTCTAGTAATTTTCATTCTTTATACTTTTAGTAATTTTTACATATTCATTTTACTATTAATAAAAGAGTAATGCTTTCAAAAAAAATAATATAAGAGCAATTCCTGCAATTTCTATTGATTTATTGGAGTATCATACATTTATTTTGCCGCAATCATACGTCATGTGCTAGGTGTCTTCTAAAAATGAAAAATCAGCTAGCTACCTGATACTACACAGTCCGTATACTACGTAAACGATACTCTCAGGGGTCAAGCGAATGGCTATTTGTGAAACCAAAAGGGCAGCTAGTCTATTTTTGAAAGAATCATTAATGAGTGATAAAGTTGATATAATTTTTGCTTTTTAGTCTATTTATGAAAATTTCCCTAGAAAAAGGATATTTTGACTGCATTTTATAATTTTGGTCAAATTAGACTTTGTTCTTCTGTTCATCTCCATCTCCATCTAGTCGAAATTTGTAAAGGAAGGGGTGCGAGTGCAGTCAAATATCTCCGTGCAAAATCCAATTAACTTTATTCGTGAAGATTCTCAAAACAATCAACCTGAAGAAGGCATGGCGAACAAAGTATCAGAGCAAGAATGGGGGCAGCGAGCATGGGACTTTTTATCAGCTGTCCGCCATGGCTCACCCTTAGTTCAGTGCATCACCAATTTCGTATCCATGGACTTCATGGCCAACACGCTGTTATCTGCCGGCGCCTCACCGGCGATGATCCATTCCGCGGACGAAATCCCCGAGTTCACTCCCAAGGCGCATGCCCTCTTAGTAAACATGGGTACGCTTACTGCCGACTGGCTTCCCGGCATGAAATTGGCGGCACAGGTTGCCAGCCAATCAGGAAAGCCTTGGGTTCTGGACCCTGTCGCTGCCGGTGTATCCAGTTTCCGGTTGAATGCTTGCTCAGAGCTTCTGGGGCTTAGACCGTCTGTTGTTCGAGGAAATGCCTCTGAGATACTTGCGCTTTCAAAAGGTTCCGTCGATTCTATTTCTAAGGTAAGTATGTAGTGATTTTCCTTTTATTGGATTTAAGTAGGGCTTTGGCTTTTAAGTGAACATTGGCGAATGCTTCGTGTTTGGGTTCATTTCAGCATTCATGATTATTCGTTTGGTTAAGTAAGGGGGTGTTTGGATCTGATTCTAAAAAGTGATTCTGCTCCTTCAGGGAGCAGAAGCAGAAGCTGGAGTGTTTGGGTGAAATTCCAGAAGCACTTCTGGAGCTCTAATTTACTCTCAGAATCAGTTTTTTTAGAAGCTGGGGGGTACCAGCTTCTGAAAACTGATTCTGATTCTGCTTCTGCTTTTAAAAAAGAAGCAGAAGCAGAATCAGTTCCAAACACCCCCTAAATCAGACTTTTTTTATAACGAGCTACTAAACGAACAGAACTAAGTTTTATGATTGATGTTTAAGTTTTTGTAGAGAAAAAATCCTTAAATAAGACAAAAAAAATAGACAAAGTGTACAAATAGGATCTCATTGTTTACTTTTTAAAATAAGACTCATTTGATTCTACTTCTAATAAAGTAAATTTTATACTTATAATAGGAACGTTTAATTGATCCTACATGGAAATCGAGTCCTCCTAAGTTCAAACATAAGGTCCTTATGTTTGAACGGATAGGAGTGAACGGATAGCTTCAACTGGGAAGCTATTATCTAGGAGCTAGATGGATCAAATTTGGATTTCCTGGATTTTGCCTTTTTATTACTTTTATCTAGTTGTCTTCATTAGCTTTCGGGGTGTTCTCCCCTTTCCTTCATTAGAGGATGTAACCTTTTTTCGTTCTCAATAAAATAATTTTATTTCTAAAAAAAGTCCTATTTTGGAAATCAATCACTCTTATTTGTGCACTTCATATATGTTCCAGTCCTATTTGATGCATTTTTTTTGTATATTTTGTTGTGATTTGTAATGTGGGAAAAGGGGCTGTATTGCTCAATGTGGGTGGAAACTAGTGTTTCTTTGTCCATTTAATTGCTTGTCAAGGGCATGTTCACATGTTTGTTTATTGTTTTTCAATAAGCTAACTAAAGTTAAACAAGTTTGTCCACAACACCAACAAGGCAACAACATCAGCCCATGGATTCACATAATGTCAGAGTTATTCAAAAGAGTGGAGTCCGCTAACATGAATTCACATTATGTCAGAGTTATAAAAAAGCATAAAGAAAACATCAGCCCATGGATTTTCACGTTCTGTCCAGCTTGGCTAGATTAATTCGAAATAAACTAATGATCTCAAAGCACTATAAGTCTGATTAAGTATCATTTTTTTACACTCCTAAGTTCAAGTAAGAATAAACTGATCAAAACGCAACTAAAATAAAACTCTTTTTTCAAGTAGAACCATGGTTTTTATGTTTGCTTATATTAAGTATTAACAATCCTTTTTGTAGTCTGATTTAGGCGTACATATGGAATTCTTCAGCCATGTTATTGATATCAAGTCCCTAGGAATTTGAAAGACGGAGTAAAACTTTAAGGTAGAGAATGTCAGTATTGTATGCTGGCATGTGTTTTCCATTAGAACTGTCTTCAGGGCGGATATGTAAATTTGTTGTGATATTTCATATGGAAATAGTGCTATGTTGCTACATATTTGTTTCACATGAATGTTCTTTCCATGTTAGGAAGATCTGCATTTCATTGCTTCATACCTGATATCCCTCTCCCAAAAAAAAGACTGCATTTAATTTTACCTGAATCGGATGAACCGAAGCATATACACTTATCTCTAATAGTTTGACTTCTCTTTTAGGGTGTGGACAGCGTTCATGAATCAATGGATGCATTAGAAGCAGCTAAATCTCTGGCTCAGTCAAGTGGAAGTATAGTGGCAGTTTCTGGAGCCATCGATTTTGTCACAGATGGAAAAAGGGTTGTTGGGGTGCAAAATGGGGTGCCACTGCTTCAAAAGATCACTGCGACGGGTTGCTCCGTGACTGCCCTAATTGCTGCTTTTGTTTCGGTTGATCCTATGCGGTCTTTTGAAGCCACAGTTTGTGCTTTTTCTATATTTGGGATTGCCAGTGAGGTAGGGATGGAGTCATCCAAAGGTCCAGCTTCCCTGCGTACAAACTTGATTGATTCACTTCATGGTCTAGATGAAGATGCCATTCTTTCTCGGATAAGCATTGACAACTTTTGAAATCTCAGATGGACAGCAGTTTGAACATGAAATATTTGTATTATTATTCAATATTCTACATAATTTTAATTAATATTTGATGTAGGATGTTTTTACATAGATTATAATTTGCTGGTTTGGTCTGTTCTGGTCTGATCTGGTCTGGGACAGATTACAGTCCAAGTAAAAACATCCATAGTACTACTAAACCTACTAGAAATCTCTATATATTTTCGCTTCAATATATTTAAAAGAAATACGGAAAACTTAACACCGTTAACACTTTGTTTATTTTTGTAAAATAGGTAACTGGTTGGGATTATTATTGTGAACTTTCAAATAGGGATTATTTTGTAAAATGTGTAAAAGTATGGATTATTGGTGTCAATTTCGCCAAGGAAAAATGATTTTAAGTCACACAACGTTACCAATTTTGGCATAAGACAATTTTAATGTGACAAATTGAAAAGAAAAGATAAAACGATTTTAGTGTGTCAGAGGGAGTATTAGAGCATCTCCAGCGGTCAGCAATGTAGTAATGAGACCCGCAAAATTGTAGTCCAATGGTTAGCTACAATGTCTGCCTCTTGAATAAGACTCGCAAATCAATTAAATTCGAAAATATACATTTTGAATGAATTTTATTGTTAATATAATAAAAATGACATTTATTTTGAAATACATATTATAAGGAATAAGAATATCAACTTATGTATTTTGTTAAGTGACAAAATAAGGAATAAAAAATTTGCTCAAAAACAATATCAACTTGTGATGCACTTGTGTATCTCGAATGCCTGGATCCTAACAATTGAAAATCGGGATCATATCCTTGATGAACATCAAAACCATTCTCTATTAATAATAATTAGGATGTTTTTACTTGAACTGTAATTTGCTGGTCTGGTCTGATCTGGTCTGGTCTGGTCTGAACTGGTCTGGTCTGGTCTGGTAAGGTCTGGTTTCTTTGTATTTTTATAACTATCCAAGTCTGGTCTGGTCTGGTCTGGTCTGAACTGGTCTGGTCTGGTCTGAACTGGTCTGGTCTGGTCTGGTCTGGACTGGTCTGGTCTGGTCTGGTCTGGTCTGGGACAAATTACAGTCCAAGTAAAAACATCCTTAGTGGTAATGAGATTGAAACCACTTTGGAACTTTACTGTTGCTGTTTTAATTAGATTAGTATATTAATTATCAATAAATTATATATATATATATATATATATATATATATATATATGGGAATTACTATTTTATTTCAATTTTCTCTGCTTTTTAGCATATGACTTGTTTTGGCTAATTTGTTTGCCCAAGCTAGAAGGTAATATGCATTCCAATGGTAGGCTACTAGCTTGAGTATTTTAAAAAAATTGCAAACAAGTCCTTGGAAGGAACCATTGGAGATGCTCTTATACAAGTTTTAAAGTTATGTGGCCAAGAGTTACTCTCATTCAAAAATTTAATTAGCCTTTCAAACTGTGTTTAGAATTAAAAATTAATGTGCCACAATGTAAAGTTTTTTCACAACTTTCAAAATTTGTTTAGAATTATATAGACAATATGTGAAAAGTTATAAATACGACGGATAGATGCTATGAAACCTTCATAGAATGAGTGTATTTTGTATGTATTTTAATGCTTGCTACACTTCTCTTTTTGGGTTATATTTTAAAGTTTGCTACATTTTCATTTTTCGTAAGTTTACACTTTATAAAATACTCAATTACCTTACTTTTTCTACTTTTTATCTTTTATTATATATTTTTACACACTTTCTCCTACTTTGTATACACTATTCATTACCCGATTTACCCCTACTACTTTATTCCTTAAAAAATGTGTCAAACCTCATGTAGTGAACATTAAAATACGGAAGGAGTAATATATTAGCTGAAATGACTTGTTGAATGTAAAATTACCATAAACGGTATTAAACTATGATACTCCATATGTGCTAGGAAAAAATTGACACGAATAATCTCACTTTTCACTGGTCTTCTCATAATAATCTCACATTTATGAGAAAATTAATGAAAGGTGAGATTATTTTTGTCAATTTTTCGTATTGTTTTCCTTAAATTTATTGTACAATCCTTTTGCGTGAAAACTGTCAACATCCTATGTACATAAGTGAAATATGGACAAATTTTCCATAGCCAAAGTATTTCCAATTCTAAAAACGGAGTTTTTTATAGAAAAAATGAAAAAAAAATTCACAAGACTTCTACAACCTACAAATGAAGAGCTTGACAGAAAACCGGGTCAATTTCAAATTAAAATATAATATAAGAACGGAAAAGAAAATCATATGACATATACGAATGATATTTGAGAGGTATGATACTATGATTCTTAGATTATGAATAGAAAATCTGGAAATTTAGATTTCCTCAATCAAGGAAAGCAAGAGTGAGCAAGCCCGTTTTCCGTGGAAGGGCTTGGGAAATATTCTCATCTGGGGTTGGGGTAATTTTCAAATGGAAAATGCTAACTATAGACATCATATATACAAATTGTACATAGTATAAAAGCTACAAAAAATCTCGTTTCCTCCTCCCTCTTCTCCCTCTCTCGGTTCTCTCTTCCTTCTCTCTTCTTCCTCTCCCCCTTCTCTCTTTCCTCTTTACCCAATCTCTTCTCAAATTCTCAACAACAACAAAATAATCTTCTTTATCCTCTTTTTCTCTACCTTTATTTATCAATTTTTTCATTATTTGCACAAAATCAACTTATTCATCTTATTTCATACTCCCTCCGTCCCAGGGAGAAGTTCCCACTTTCCTTTTTTGGTAGTCCCAACAAAAAGTTCCCATTTCCCTAAATGGAAAGTTATCCTACATCAAAACAGTGTCAAACAGTGCAAAACAGTGCCAAACAGTGTTGAAACAGTGCCAAACAGTGTCGAAACAGTGCCAAACAGTAAAATTTACCCCTCAGTAACTTTATTTCCTAAATATGTGTGAAAGTCAACCCGGGAACTTCTCCCTGGGACGGAGGGAGTATATTTTTATTATGTTTCTAATTTTATTCAAATTAATGTACATTGATTACACATACTACATCCTTCATTTGGATGTATGTAGAAAATTGAGTTTTTTGTTCACCCAAACAATTAAAATTGATCACACAGACAACTATTGTATGTGGAACGCACAACTATTGTCTGTGTGGTAAAAGTTGTCGGTGCACACAGACAAATACTCCCTCCGTCCCAAAATGGTTGGCCAATGTTGACTTGCACGTGGATTAATAAAGTAAAAACTGTGTGGTTGAAATTTGTGCAGAGGAGAGAGAATTAACTTTAACCACATATTCCTTACTTTAAATAGAAATGACCAACCTTTTTGGGACGGCCAAAAAAGGAAATTTGGCCAACCATTTTGGGACGGAGGGAGTAATTGTTTGTGCAACATGAAAATATTGTCTGTGCACACAGGCACTGCACATATATTGATTGATTTGCAAGCTGATGTCAGTGTCAGGCGGCTGTCAGCGTACTTTTTACATAAAAGTAAATGTCTTTGGACACAGACAAAAGTTATTTGTGTACACAGACAACTCTTGTCTGTGACCACAGACAATTCCGTACCAATTTTCTATGACAGACAACTCTTGTACAAGTTGTACAAGTTGTGTACAACTTGTATACCTCAAGCATGGTTGCTCACGATAATTCCTGGATACGCCACTATCTACCGTCCTGTTGGGGCAAAGGGTCTTTACCATTGTCAACGATGGAATATTAACGTCATGTTCAGCACACCAGTTTAGCTAAAAAAGGGCTGAAGTATTTAAATTTCAACCAATATAAATTAAAATAGTGTTGTTTGTTTGAGGGGCTGAAGTGGCTTGAGCTGGAAAAGAGGGTATGAAATCAAACGTTTGTACATGTAGCGTTTATATTCAACCGCCTAATTCCAGACTTTACATACTCGTCGTATCCCTACTCGCTCTGCACCATTGGCCCATCTTTGAGCACCGAACTCTTGTCGATCTTCATCCTCCTTATACACTCGAGTAACTCAACCTGTAGGCTGTAGTACGTCTCCTCGGGCTTCACCATTGAAATCATTGTAGACTGCTCGCGGGCTTGCTGCTTCGGCATCCTCGCCTGTAAAACCCAATAGCTGAACAAACCGTCGTCCGCAAGCATTACCTACATCGAAAAATCAGACCCTAGAGAACCCTAAGGAATGATTGTCGCTCTGCAAAAACCTTTCCTCTTGAAAGTTTCTCTCTGTAACCACGAAATCATATGATCAAATAATTCTTAAAACGTACGGAGTAATTTTTCAGCCACAAATTCATAAATTTGATCACCCTTAATAGATTGAGTCACCGTGTGATAAATTTGATGCGTGTTGGGATCAACTTTTGATGGTTTTCCTAGCTTTAAGGTGTCATATGTCTGAATTGTAGCTCAAGTTATATTTACCGGGAATTGGTTCAAGCTTTGTATTGTTTGGAGTCAAAATTAGGGAATTATAGGCCAACACCGACGCTTGAGAAGCAACCGGGATGAGTTGATGAGCATTTGAGGGTGATTCGAGAGTTTTGGGGGCCACCGAGAGGTTCACGACGATGATTTGATGAAGAAAGAGCCTAAGGATCGATCACAGAACCATTCCGGAGAGTTTTGTGCTATAAAACGAAGAAAAAGCTCTACTTTGGGGTACGCACGGCCGTGCATAGGCGTTACGCACGCCGTGCGTGTGTGGAAGACAGGTTATAAAACGGAAGAGGCTACTGCCAGCCAGACACGGTCGTGCCTGCCAGGGAGGCATGCCACGCCAGGCCCGGTTGCGCGTGAATGCTCCGTTGGCACGGCAGGTAGGCACGCCGTGCCTAGCCCCGTGCCTGCGCCGGATATCCTAGTTCAACCCAAATTTTGTCTGTTTTCTATAAATAAGGCCTCTATTTTTCCCATTTTGAGGTTACAAAATTTAGAGAGAGGACTAGGGACGAGTTTTACGTTGTTTTTCCGCTTATTATTCAAGACCCTGAGATTATTTGTAAGTTCCTACTTTTTAATTAATGACAAGTAATTTTGTTCATCCCAATTCTGTTGATTTTTCAATTATGGGTTGTGAGTAGTTTTAATTATGATTTGGGATTGATGCAGGGGTTAATGACTAATTTCATGATGGATTAATTGCATGAATGTCATTTGATTTGTATTTGAATGATTTAATTGATATCTCTTGTAATATTGACTGCAGCTAGGATTATAATTTCATGTAGAATAAATTAAGAGAGATCTAATTTATTCTAGGACACCTT